TGCTAAATAAAATGACATGTAGACATTTGAAAAATAATATGATGCCAAGCCAAGCTCTGTTAGCTAGTTGGGAGTAGGACAAAAATTGTATTACAAGGTACAACTTGCCACTGCTTTCCCAAATATTTTTCCATTACAGGCATCGTTTTGTTAAAATATTGAAGGCAGGAGTAAAGAATAATTGTGATTATGAATTTCAAGTCTTTATTAATATGATGAATATGTTGTTGAAGAAATAATGTGCTAAAACAGCAAGCACTGGTTTTAACAGCCTTGCATTTTTCAGACATAGCTAATAATTAGTACTTAAATTTCCATGAGAAGAACAGTCTGAGCTGTTTGGGAGCCTGAGTGATAATATAGCAGATAGGGCTTGCCTTGACTCCTGAGTACCATTGGTGTGGCCCCCCCCAAAAATATAAAACCAAATAAGCAGAAAAACACAGGGTACAGCTTTGAATTCTGTATAGTCTTCAGGCTTACAATATATTTCCGAAATAACAGAAATAAGCTAGAAAACAGTGGGCAGCACAGTTCTTCCCAAAGAACCAAGTGAGAATCTTCAAAATGTAAACCACATGATGACTTTGAATTGCTTTTTGTTCACCCAATGTTTAGAAATATATAATATAAAAGTCCCTTTCCTGTTCTTGCACTGGCTATTGGGAGTGGCACCACCCCACTGTCATATACAAGTTATCTTCCACTTTGAACAGAATGCTATGACTAAGTGACATGTTTGGAAATTTATTCTGGGTCAATATTTTATTTGTGAAAGGAGAGCGAAATCTGTAGTTGGTGATTTAAAGGCAGATAGTGTAAGAGATTGACTAAATTCTTACCATGTCCGTTTGCTATTCCTGAATACATACAAAAACTTTTTGAAGTTTATGGGATAATCTATTCCTTTTGCAGGAAAAATTTTATTTATAAGAATAGAACCAGTTGACACCACCCAAATAGCACCTAGTATGTGAAATCATAAGACATGCAAAATCAAATTAAAGACATGCAAAATCAAATTTTTATGCAAATATTATGTCTAATCAGATAGTCAACAAGGTATATCTCACTTGAAATATAAAGGTAAAATTTAAAATGAATATTTAAAACTCATAAACATTTTGTAAACTTATTAAAGTCAATTAGACAATATTATAGAGAAAATGTCCTATTTACTGTAGCAACAGAAATCATGGTGTTTGATTAACTATAATAAGTAAAACTTTTACATAGGAAGTTATAAATAATAATAGACAAAGACAAAATATAAAATTGAGACATACAATTCTTTCAATGACTGAAGGACTAAAATATTATTAGTATGTCAATTTTCTGTATGGATCTATAAATTAGACACAATTATACTAACATCAGAGTTTCTAATGAGATCTAACAAACTCCATAAAACCTCATAGAAAATGTGGTAGGAGAGTGAGTACTAACAGTTAACTAGTAGAATAATATTATTAAATTTGCTAAATTCACAATGTCAATAATTAGATATTATAATATCTCAGATAAATTACTAATACAGCTGAGTTCAGAAATAAACACTATTTATTAATGATGTCAGCCATGATATAAAATAAAATCAATTCCAGTGGATAATATAATAATTAGATAAATTTATTATCTATTCAGAAAAAATAATCTATGCCATAAAAGGAGAGTATAGTGGATTAAAAATTGTGACATTATGACTTTTTGTCAGCGCTGTTATCTTTTATAGGTGTCAAACCTTGAGGTGTTCAGAGAGCCAAAAATGATGGAGATTGAATCCAGATCTTCAGATTCAAAGTAATCTACTAAATTTTTTTCAATTTTGATTAAGCTTAAATATATTTAAATGATATTTTGATTTAAATATATGTGCATATTTGGCTTAATCAACTTTCTCTTGCATAGAGTTTCCAAAATCTTTCCATCACGATCACGATCATCCTCAAGCAGGTTCCAGTAACGACTATTTGTCCTATCCCTGAGATTATAAAAAGTGCCACATTCAAGGCTCTTTCAGGTTAGGAGAATGAGACCCATCATTGTTACTGGTATTTGGCATATTGGGTATGCCACGGAGAGTTTGCCAGACTTTGCTGTGTGGGCAGGTTACACTCGGTAGCCTGGCAGGTTGTCCAAAGCAAGAATGAGATAATAAGATTTTGCTGGGTTTTATAGTCTCTAGGACTTGGATTACATGGTGCTGGGGAGGCAGTTGGTAGGTGTGACCCCAAGCTACTGGAAGATGGAGGATGTGGGTGGAGGATGCTCAGCCCCGATCCGAGCAGGCTTGGAGATCTCAGCCCTGGGACCCACATGCCTTTGTTCATCTGCTGGTACCTTCACGCGTGTGGAGAGTGGTGTCAGCATGGTTGTGGCTGGTTCTGGAGGTCTTTGGCTGCCGGGGCTCTGTTTGGGGTGGGGAGGGAAACTTAACCCGCCACCCTCCAAGGGGTCCCAGCGAGGACAGCCAGGCAGGGGAGGGAAGGAGACTCTGCGCTGTTCTCTTCAGGGAGCTGGGTTTTATAGTCTCTGGGTCTTGGCCGTTGATGGGATTATACGGCGCCAGGGGGCAGTTGGTGTGTGTTACCCCTGCCTAGTGGAAGATGTAGGATCTGGGTGGAGGATGCTCAGCCCCAATCCTGTAGGCTTGGAGATCTCAGCCCCGGGACCTGCATCTAAGTAATTAGACCTTGGAGCAACGTTTCTCATAAAGTTTTGTTTTGTTTTGTTTTTTTGTTTTTCATTTATGAAATAGCTTCACTGAAGCAGAAGTGAAATTAAAATCATTATCCAGAACCTGCTTTATTCAAGTGCATCTGAATATTTTATTGAGATGATTTCTCAAAACCAATGGTTGTGCATTGATTATCAGGGGACCAATGTTGCTATTAAGGCTTCAACTTCATTCTGCACTCTCGGGCAGAGGAAGGGCTTGAAGTTGAAATTTTAGCAATGATGCTTTCATTATGAAACATGCACAAAATTACTACAGTATAGAAGATGTAGAGAATTCAGAGGGTGAGTGCACATTTTCTGCATAGTCAGGAACTGGGTTTAATTTCCAGCACTGTATGATCCCTTGAGTTTTGCCAGGTATGGGTCAAAATGTTACTGACAGAAACAACTTTGCAGTTTATGACCTATAAAATGGCAACCCCAACTTTAATGATATATATTAATATAATTCCTGAACACATGAGGAAACACAGTATAATTATTATAGCAATGTTATTTATATTTGAAAATGTTCAAATATATATTTGAAATATATATATGTACATATATATCAGGGGCTATAGAGATAATATAGTGGATAAAGCATTTGTCTTGCATACGACTGACTTGGGTTCTATTTCTGGCACTCCGTATGGTTCCTTGAGCCCACCAGTATTAATCCCTGAATATAAAGCCAGTAGTAAGCCCTGAGCAAGGCTGAATGTCCAACTGCCCCCAAAAACCTTAAATAATATGAAAAAATCTATCAAGTATTCCAAAGAGAACACTATTTTACTCTATAAATGGTTTCTAAATGTTTTGAATAGTAGCGTTCCAGTTCATTCTTAAAGATAGCACTTTTCTGACAAGAAACAAAAATATCACTACAATTTAATTTCCATGCTTATTTCCTTTGTAAATAGATACAAACTTAAAAAATCCATAAAAGTAAAGATGCAAATGAGAAAATTTGCAATACAAGAATGCAAGCATCTTGTAGCGTCAAAAACATATATTGATATAATATCACTTTCCTAGAATAAGATCTATGAAATGCCAGTAAATAAAGTGATTAAGAACCATGCAAGGAACTTCTCCTTCAGGCAATGTCAAAATAACCAGAACTAAACTTACCCTGGTGTAATAAACAAGCATAAAATTGAGGGGAAATGCATGAGACAACTGTTTTCAGACATCGGACAGCAAACATTGCAGACAGCTATTACTGTGATAAATTCCTAGGTTGTTCTAGATCTCTACAGGAAGCTGAAAATCTAGTAAATATCAGATTATGCAATGCTTACATGAGGTGATCATTAGAGCAAACACTATAGGACGAAAACAAATGATCAAAGTTAAGAAGGAGAGACAAAGCTTCGGCCTTTGTAAGAAAGGAAAGAAGATCTGAGTCTCAAGAAAGGCCCTAATTTGGGAATAAGGTTCACACTAGTAATATATGGTCTCCATTGGTCTTAGCAAAGTCAGAGTTAAAGCCTCAATTAAAAATAAACATTAAATGGAGTAGAATATGGAAGTAGATTTCCGCTAAGATAAGGATTTGGGGAAATAATGGTCCACACTAATTTGGAATTCTGTTGAAGATGGAACAAGAAACAAAACAAATCAGAAAATTGTATAGTTTGTGAGGTACTTGCCTTGCACGTGGAGATGGTGTCCTGGCAGAACCAGGAGTAAGCTTTGAGCACCGTCTGGTGTGATTCTAATAGCAAACAAACAGCAACAAAACAATACTCTTTTGGAGAAGTATACAACATATATGGCAAAAACCTCAATCTATAAGCAACATTTATTTAGACACCCAGACCATAGAAAAATGTATCCTCTAGTTAAAAAAAATAACAAAAGCTGAACCTGACAGTTCACACATTGTATTTCACAGAAAATACTTAAAATATATATAGTGTAGACATCTATATATATCCATATATGAAGAAATAAGACATTAAAAAAATAAGAAATGTTAAGTGAAGGGATCTGGGTGGGGAAATATGGTGGGAGCAAGGTAGCAGGTCTGCCAATATAGGGACCCTCTAGCTACCCTCTCCAGCCCGTAGGGGAGCCTGCAGTACTTTCCTTATATGGTCAGGCCCCATTGCTAGCAGTAGGTGCTGTACAGGGTCTGAAAGGTGCTGAAAATGTATATGACCAACTGGGGCATGGGCGAGCAGGCAGTGAGGAGCCAGGAGCAGGTAGGAGGGTAGCGGTGAGGACAGGGTAGCTGTAGAGCCTCTAGGACCTCCAGGTGGGTGATCCCTGAATCCTGGTCTATGGTGATAGGGCCCCTGTGCTGCCTGAGATCTGAGGACCTGGTGACGGGATGTGCTCTGGGAGTGGACAGGCCAGGTGGGAAAAAAGAAAAAGAAAGTGAAATTTCAGGTTAAGTAGTAAAAACTTTAAAGGTTGGGAAATGTGGGAAAGTTAATATTAAATAATTGAAAAAAATTTTCCTGACTTTCTTTTTGGGTGGTGGGCTGGTGATTTGGGCCACAAGCAGAGGTACTCAGGAGCCAAACTCTGTGCTCAGGAACCACTCTGGACTCACCTGATTGTTTTAACAGAACATATTGGAAATGGCAAAATCAAAGAGTGTCACTGAACTCCAAAGCAGATCTCCATAAGTGCACAAATTTTGAATATAGAGGCATAAAGTATGCTAAATACTAAACAAAAAGGGGGATATTACTTATCGTACCTTATTTAGAGCTCTTCTAAAACTATTTGCAAGTTAATTTTCCATTATTTTGTCATATTGACTAGTTACAAAAAGTTGATATGTATAGTAAGATCGCATTAGCATTTTGTGTAAACTTAACTTAAAGTTAGCACGATATTATATGTCAACTACATCTCCATTATAAAAGAACATAAATAAAATTTATGTATTAGAACATAGATATAAGTCATACAGGGCATCTATTATGTTCATATACATTTCCCAAAATGGCTCTTGTAACAGTATTTCTTGAATTCTTGCATACTTAGAAATATTTGTCTCAAGCTTTGCTAAATGCAGGAAAAGTTGAATGATAATAAAATCTCTAGTCTGTGCTTGTCCCGGGAGTTTTATTTCTTTCTGTTCTCCTCCCAGACCTCTTTCTCTATCGGTGCAGTTTTAACCTTTGGTGATTTTTGTACCTCTTTTGTACAAGATGACGCTAGTCTAAATCTTTATTCCTTGGATATAATTTCTCCTTTTTTCTACTTTTGTTTCATAAGGCTCATCGCTAGCAGTGCAAGGAGAACAAACACAAACTCTCTGTGAGGCTCATCCTGATGCTGAGGTACTACCAGAATTGAGTTTTCATTCTTAGAAAACTGAGTGCCGTTGAGGATTCAACTCAGGGTCCAACACATGCCATGGATGGGCTGCACTACTTTAGCTATCATCCTGGACCTTCTTTGCCCTTTTTGTCTGAGGGTTTGGAGACTTTATCCTGTCCCTTTATGTTTACTAGAATTCTCCTAAAGTTGAGAACTGGATCAGTTTCTCAAATACTATGCTGACATTTCCAGTATGAAACAGCAAATCTTCAATTACCTGCAGTTTTTTTTAGGTTATAAAAATTTCCTTAATCAGTGATACTGGAGATGGCAAACAATATTTATTTGAAAAAGATTGTATTTTGTCCTCATCTGATCCTGTATGTTTCATATAGGTAAACTGAAATAAATCATTGCTTAAATTATTATATAGTAACTCTTCCCTTTAAAAAGAAGATATAGGCTTACCACAAGGAAGGACAGTGGGGAGAGAGAATGGAGATTTACTAAATTGGAGATGGGGATACAGCACAGAGCCAGTGGCGCAATGGATAACGCGTCTATTCTATGTGGAAAAAACAATTTCCATGATAGGCTCATGAAAAACATGTTGGTAAGAGATGAAAAATATCAGAAAGTTATCAGAGCCTTTATAACCTTGAAATAATGGTAAGTTATTGCATATGTGTTTGTTTCCTCTTTTCATGAAAAGTTGACATGAAAAGGAGTTTTAGACAGCACCTTTAAAGACAAAGGCTCTGAAGAATTACAAATATCCAAATACTAGAAGACATTCATTAGCATTTTTAGCATAGAGTAAGGAATAAAATTAGTAAATATTCAACAGGTGGCTATGAAATTCTAATCTTTGGGTGAGAAAGTCAACTGAGCAAAGATATTGTGAATACAAGCAAAATCACAGGTATTCCAATTCAACAAAGGTATAGGAAATACCTATTTTGTTTTTAGTTTTATTTTTCTAGGGAAGAGAATACTCCTTAGTGCTCATGGATGCATTCAGTTTCGGTAGTGTTTAAACTTGGGATTTCCATACTCAAAGCATGTAGTCTAGTCCATTGAGCCATCTCCACTGTCCTATTTGGCTTTATTTTATAATAAAATCTTACAGTATGAAAGGTACTCTCTTTTCCAATACATTTCTTTTTAATAGATAGTGCTATTTACTAAACTTTTTGTACAATAAAATACAAATACACTAAAAATAACAGTTTTGACAATTCTTGAATTATTAAGATTATTTTTGAGGGGGAAATAGAATTTCCTGCCTCCGTGCCTGGCTGTCCTCACCAGGGCCCCTTGGAGGGGGACGGGTTGAGTTTCCCTCTCTGCCCCGAGCAGAGCCCCAGCAGCCGAAGACCTCCAGAACCAGCCACAACCATGCTAAGACCACTCTCCACACACATGAAGGTACCAGCAGAGAAACAAAGGCATGCAGGCCCCAGGGCTGAGATCTCCAAGCCCGCTCGGATAGGGGCTGAGCATCCTCCACCCAGAATCTCCATCTTCTAGTAGGCAGGGGTCACATCCACCAACTGTCCCCCCCCCCACCCCGTGCCGTAAAATCCCATCAACGGCCAAGACCCTGAGACTATAAAACCCAGCTCCCGGAAGCATTCATGGCCACATGACATCTTATCATCTCATTCTTACTTTGGACAACCTGGCAGGCTACCGAATGTAACCTGCCCACACGGCAGAGTCTGGCAAACTTCCTGTGGTGTACTGAATATGCCAAATACCAGTAACAATGATGGGTCTCATTCTCCTAACCCTGAAAGAGCCTTGAATTTGGCACTTTTTAAAATCTCAGGGCTAGGGCGAAGGAAACGTTACTGGTGCCTGCTAAAGGCAATCGACAAACAATAGGATGATCATGATTGTGATTGAGAAGGAGGGCAGGGAAATTTAGGCCATGTATGGCATGGTGGCACTGTATTCAGGGGTCACTCCTGGCAGTGCCAGGGATTGAATCACTGTTGGCAGCATAAAAAGCAAGTACTTTAATCCTTGTACAACATCTTTGGACCTTTAAGATAACAAGGTTGATAGAAAAAGATTGTACCTTCTGTTGTGAACAAAGAGGCTGAGTGTTTTTTTCTGCATTTTAATTTGCTAGATTGCATGGTGAATTTGTTCTGTGTGTAAAATGACAAAATCTAGTGGTTATGAGAGATTGTAGTTTGTCAGACCTCAATTTGTGGGGCTGTCTGGAGGGTATGAGCTTTGTTATGTAAAATATAAATTTGCTTAGACTTCCTTCTTTTATTTTCTTAACTTCCTGTTTGCATACTGTGAGAAAATTATCCTATTGGGTGTTTGAACAGCTGGAGATTTGTTGACCTGGGAACTATTTTACTATGATCTAAACTTAGAGTTTCAATATTTAAGTAGTTTGATAGCTAAAACATTCTTTTGGGGTTCCAGATTTCATCCTTGTATCTTTTAATGCTTGTATGATTGCAAAATAATAGCACCTTGAAAGGACTATTTGTTTTTCAAATAGAAGAAGTTTTTTGTCTTTTTTTTTTTTGGTTTGTTTTTTAAATGGCATTCTAATTTCACATCGGAATTTCCTGTCACTCACAGTCTAATTAATCAGTTTAACATAATTAAAAATTAAAGGATCCGGAACCACCTGGCTGGATCACATCGACATCAAACCCAAACATATTTTTTGGAATGGTGCAAAGCAAAACTCAGGTCATGTCATATGGTGCTTCTCGGCAATGGCAAAAACTTATAGCACTATTGAAAGTCTTAATTTTCTATTAACTTCTACCTAATGACAGTTGAATTCTAGGAATAATACATGGAATAAGTGAAAATTCAAAGGTTTAATTAAGATTTTTAACGTGAGGATTCAAACTATTCAAATCTCACAGAGGAATTGTAATTAATGATAATGTAGGTTTGAGCCATATTCTTAAAGATTAGCAAGCAATGATATAGTCTTAATGTATACTTTAAATGATGTGCACCACTACGATTATGAAGCAAAGCCATAAAGATGGAGAAATTATTTTTCAACACGTTGAGAAATTTATGGTAAAAGTCTGGCCCACTAGACTGGAATGAGTACTTTACAGATGTATATCCTACACCGGTACATGAAAATAAATATTTTATACATTTGTGGTGGCTTGGTAAATATTTAGAATAAATAGTAACTCTGACTGAGAATAGTGAGTGGCGAGGTTGGTGTGACATATTGAGCTAAGTGAAATCCACCATAGCTAGGGTTATGTGAAAGCAGATCTTAACTGAGAGATCTCTAGTTACTCTGTCACAACAGAGACTGCTGATCCAGAGAACCACTCGGACAGAAGAGCAAATTCATGCGGCTGGTGCAAAGTCAGATTTTTGCCAATTCTGTTCTCTTTCATTGTTGGAATCAGGACACATCTAGTTAAAAGTTGGGCACAAAAGTAGAACAAAGTCCTTTGTGCAGAAGTGGCTAGACTGCTCTTGTGGGCAGCAAAAATATGTTCTCACTTTTAGCGTAGTTCTTCTATTGGTCTTGTAACTATTTTGGAAATGTTTTTTATCTTCTAGTTAAAAGAACATTGGAAAAGACCGTGAAAACATAGTGCTATTTTGCTTAAGTTGCCTGAACTCAGACGATTGTGTAAGAAATCATACTTTCCATTGTTTTTGCTTTATGGGAGAATAAATCCATGAGACTAAATAGGGGTTAAAGGTCAAAAAAGTAAATATTTTAGACCTTGTGAACCTATTGTCACAACAGCTCAGTTTCATCACCCTTGTGTGAGGATGGCCCTAGAAAATACATAACCAATGAGAGAGACAGTCTTCCATCTAACATAACTGTAGCTGCTAATATTTGAAGTGTACATAACTTTTATGTTTCACAAAATATTCTTGATATTTTAAAACATTTATAATTACATAAGTGTTGGTAGCTTCTGAGCTCTACAATAACACATGGCTGACTGAATTTGGCCCATGGGCTGATGTGCGCCCATCTGACGATAGAACACAATTGTGTTTCAAGTGTTACAGATGAGAAATAAGGGAAAAGATTAACATGACATTCTACTCT